ATGTGGGAGAGTATTCATGGAATTCAGGCAGCAGTTTACCCGATCTGGAAAAAAAATGCTGCACCACGCAACATGTTGATTGTTGTATGCAGGGTTGTGCTCGACTCATGAGTCATGAGTCAAATTTGACTCGACTCTGACTCAAATGAGTCGAGTCGAGTTGAGTCAGCCGTAAAAATCAAGGCTTTGAGTCAGTGTCCCAAAATTTGCCGATCTGGGTGAGAACTGACACCCAAAACGGCCGCAATTTTCCCCTCCGATGCGAAACATTTGGAGCCAATTTTCCACTCCTAAAACAGCCCTGAAACGTTACTTTTAATATAAATTAATTAGCAGGATTATCACTCCCAATTCACATTAAATATCTAAGTTTGTCCCACGCTCACCTGCCGAGAAACATACCTACAATTCTTGACGCATGTACAATTCATGAGTAAGCATGTTAATGTCGGGTTTTTCACACCTGAATTTTGCACTCTCTTCATCATTTTGGAGGTTGAATTTTCCACTCTGACACCCAGGACCAAAATAAATTTTGGGACACTGATTTGAGTCGAGTCAGAGTCGAGTCACGCTGATGGTCATTAGAGTCAGAGTTGAGTCAACTGGATACTCTTTAGAGTCACTGATTCTGCCGAAGAGAAAACGCTAATATTTCAACTTTATCTGAAGCTTTATATGGAGAGAACAAACCTCCAGCCACATTCGACCGCACCCCCACCCCCTCCCGGTCAACAACTTTTGGCGAAATTAGGCAAAATGTGATGAGTCATGAGTCATATTTGACTCAAATCCGACTCATTCTGACTCAAATGAGTTGAGTAAGAGTTGAGTCAGGCTGGGAAATTTGGAATTTGAGTTGAGTCAGATTTGAGGCAACCAATAAAATTTCAGTGGTGAGTCAAGTCAGAGTTGAGTCACCTAGGTTATCAATGAGTCAGAGTCGAGTCAGCCCGAAAAATTTGAGCCGAGCACAACCCTGGTTATATGTGCCACAAATGAGGACCATATTGGCAATCAGCACCCAACATGACTTCATTATTTATCATAGTGTATGCTTGAACAAGGTGGGATACAGCTCGCTATTTCAACATGTTGTCAATTGTTAATGCTACAAAATATGAGATAGACAAGAAGAACATTTCATGAAATCAGAAATGACATTTTTATACAATCCTAGTAATTTGTAGACAGTGGATTTTAGATTAGATTTTGGGCTGACATAAGACATTTTCCAAGGTGAGTGCAGCACACTGGAGTGTTGTGCTGAAACATTGATAAGCACTCGGAAGTACATCATGTTAATTCAATATCATGCAAATACAAATGTGTTCAAGTTGTTGATCTTCTGATGAGTTAAACAACAATATAAGTTCAACAGCCAAAATGTAATGGACAGTTTTAGAACCTTATGTAGCCCTAGCAAAGCTGCATAGTGGTACCTAGTGTTATGGTATCTAGTGCGGGCACCACCATGCACGGAGCAAGCCGGTATTAGCTAGGTAGGTAGGTAGGTAGGTTACAGGCAGGGTATATTTAAACAAATCTGCACTGTGTCACAAAGCTGGGCAGAGGGCCCGTGACTTTGTTGATAGACCCAACGTAACCCCAAAAACGGAAAGGCTCCTAATTTTGTCCACTATTTTTTTAGAGCACCCTAAACTTTGCTTTCATAAGTAAAATAGAAGTAAAATAAGATTTTCAACACAAAGGCCAGGGGGCCTCTCCAGAGTGGCCATATAATTCTCATGAGGTGGTAAAAGGGCCCTTGTGCTGTTCGGAGGGACCTTGTGATGGTCAAAAGGCCACTATTTAGTGAACTTGCAATGTTGCAAAACATTAACTTTTTGTTTATGTTTAAAACAGTTATATCTTTGAGACGTGGTGGGCTAAAATCAACAGGGCCTACGTCTCAAAATCTTAGGCCTGCGTCCCAAAATGGGACGCAGTAGGTAAGTAGATTGAAAAATAAAATATGCCCTGGTTGCAGCTTAGGTTAGGTTTGTTAAAGTGAGATTCAGCTTGGTTAGGTAAGGTGAGGCTATATACACTTACAAATAATCATTTAAGCATACTAGTCCACATTCAGCTATTGGTGACACATGCGTTACAGAAACTACAAAACTGCTGAGGCAAACTATGGATTAATTTGCTTTAAATTTGCAGCATTTGCCAGGTATGATCTAAATTTTACTGTGCTATATTTTCAACAAAGCTAAGATGATACAAAAAAACTAGGATTAATTTACCAATTCACATACAAATCCACATGAATTGACCACAGTCATCAAGATGGCACAAACATGGCGCACATTCAAGATAAGTTCTTACCGATATGGAGAACTCGCAGACTGTGCTTCGCCCGACTTTTTCCCATTTCAGACTCGAAGAACCGTAGTTCAGGTAGCTACGATACTGTATAATAGCCTGAATAAGCGCAATATCACAACGACGATCAGATAAATACCTCTAACACCAACGGGAATCCGGAATGGCGCACGCCGGGTTGCGTTTATAGAGGAGCAAAATAATAAAATATTAAATAAGAAATGTACAATATGTATTAACATAATTGTTATTTGTATTTTTAAAATTTTCTAAGCAAATATTTTAATCTTATTTTCTATTAACAAAGCCTTTTTTAAGAAAAAAATGTAATTTCACCACTAGCACTCTCCAATAACGGAACGGGCCGGTCGGCCTCGGACGTTCCGTTATTACCGGCGGACCCCGCGCCGCTGGCCGCAGTCTGGGCGCTACGACGTAAAAACGGTTATTTACACTCTTTTGAGTGCCCACTTACTCATTTATCCATCGGCTACACTTATCTAGGTTCGTTGTTTCTGTCTTCTGAGATGGCGACCCCAACTGATGCACACTGGGCAAATATCATACCATACGATAACACGTTCCGCTGCATCCGGTCTACTTCTAAACTGGAGTGACCCTAGAAGCCGCTGAGCAACTTCTGATTTCGCTATGCATCTCACGAAACCGATACCACCGCCCATCAATGCCGGGCCGGGTCAGACAGGCCTCACTTCTGCAATGACACATATCGGTGCCGCGCTGCAATTGGTGCCCAGATGCAGCACTCTGCAGTCATCTGCTCCCTCTGCAGCGGTGCCAGATGTCGGCCGATTCGGTAAATCGCTCCAACTTGCCCGGCCCGTGCAAGACAAATGGTGCTAGCCAGGATTTGGCCCGCTGCGAATATTTGGCGACAGCCGGCTCGGCCCGGACGGCGTCACTGGCGGCCATATGAAGGCGGCAGGCGGCGCATTTTCCACCTCCCAGGTGCCCATGGCGAGCCTTTCGACACCGGTTTATAGTCGGCCAGAGAGAGATTGGTGGCACACCGGGGGCCGAATGGCTCCCAACCATGGCTGCGTGGGTGTGCATCGGTGCGGCTCAAACGGACAACGAGTGGTGGAATCGGCTGTGCGCGACGGGTAACGCTAGGATGTATTTTATTTCGAACTTTTTTAATTTTAAATGCAGTGTGTAATATTACTGTTACAATATTACTGTTACAATAATATTACATATATTTATCATTTACATACTCGTATTGTCTATGTGATCAACATCTTATAAGTATTGTGCATCTCCTTGGAAAGTGTAAGGACAAAGGCTTCATATAAGGTTTGACTTAGAAATGGCAAGCTACGTCGTGAGCTCGAAGTGTAAATCACATCAACAAACGTTGTCGGAGATCCATATATGCAGACATGTCACCCATTTCTCCTCCGCGCAAAAGTGTGAATCGTGTGTCCGCAAACGTTATGAGCACAAATAAACACTCATTTGACCATGCCTTTTGTGCAGCTCTCTCCTGTCTCCACCCAAGCATTATACAGCAGATGAATTGCATTCTTATTTCTTTTTCTGATCCTTTTCCCAACCCAATCGACTCAATTTAGGGTGTCCTCTCCCTTGCCCCTTCACTCAGCTGACTCACTTTTTGTGCGTCCCTCTCCCCCAGTTCACTCACTTTTGTGCGGCCCTCTGGCCCAGTTAACCCTATTAGTGGCAGGGGGGGGTTGTTTTTATCCACCCCTCAGGTTTTTCGGGAATATCTCCGAAACCGCTAAAGCTACGATGCTGAAATTTTCTGACTTTTCCTAAAACTAAATTGGGCACATTCCCTGAAAATTTCAAGTTCATAACTTTACCAGGGGCGGCTCCAGAGCACTGGGAATTGGGGGGTCCTATTCGTGAAGCGAGTCATTTGGGCGAAGATCACGATGCTACACCAGTTTTACGAACAGTGAATAAAAGGTATCATGTGATAACATATACAGTTATTGTGCATCCTCTTTTGACACGTTTTTGCTATAATAGGCGGATCCAGGCGTCCAAAAAGGGGGGTTATGTTTTACCTCCCAACATAGGTGCCCTGACACCGCCTATGCATTACCAATACAATTTTAGCCGTTCTTTCATAAGAAAATTATAACATAACAAGACCATTACCACCCTTTTTAGAAAGAGTACCAACAAAAACCTTATTTACTATACTTTTTGTGTACCCCCAATCTCAATGATCTGTATCCGCCTATGATTTTTGAAAATGCATATTTTTAGGATCCATGTGAATTTCTGGTTCATTCTCTATCGATCGGCAAAAGTTGCGTTAAGATTGGTTCAGAAACCTGGCCGTGATTAACAGTCTAAAATGTATCTGCAATTTGCCCGTTTTTACCCCCCTCTACCCCCCTATTGACATTTTTTAATTTTTATTTTTTAGAAATGTAGATCACGTTGAGCGAAATCGAATGCCGTTTGAATTTTGAAAATCGGCCCGTTAGATCTCGAGATATCAAGGGGGGGTCGTAAACAGCCCCCCCCCCCTGCCACTAATAGGGGGTAGCCAGGAGCCTGCCACTAATAGGGTTAACTCACTTATTGCGGCCCTCTCCCCCAGCTGACTCACTTTTGTGCGGCCCTCTCCCACAGCTGACTCACTTTGGTGCTGCCCTCTGGCCCACTTAACTCACTTTTGTGCTGCTCTCTGCCAGCGAGTGACCACCTCCATCCTGCGGTCCCGGCCCAGATGTTTCTCCAGCAGCAGAACCAGATGTTTCCGTTTGATGCTCCCCAGGAGAATCATCGACTCTGTCACAAAATAGGGAGAAAGGGACGGTTAGACGCGGAGATGGGCACGATCTACATGTCTAGTTTCATCTGACATCAAATGCGTAATGCACTTGCTACGAGTATAAACGTCTGTTTACACTTATGTACATCCATGCAGGGAGGCTCAAAATGTACGCGAAACATGTTACGTTTCAAATTGAACGATTGCCGCGGAGGACAATACTTTTCACGTCCTTTGGCGCTGTTCGGTGAAACCATTGACACCGGTGATTGCATTTCTACCATTTACAAACATTTGTTGAACTCCATTATAACACCGAGCCTGGCTAGCACTTGAGAAATAATCCTTAAAATTTGTGAGGCGAAATGACGGGCTTCAGGAAAGTCAGATAATGACAGCATTGGCGCTTATATGGCCGATAATCACAGTTGATTACGGAACTGGCCTCAACTGGAGAATGGTTATTTGATGCGGGTAATGGCGGATGAAATATCTTAGCGAGTCCGTAGTATCTTTTGATGGGGCTCTTAACGGAGCTAATATGTAGTAAGATCAAGAGGGGCTGCGAGGCACGGTATGACATAGTTAGGGTGCCGGTGGCCAAAAACTTATGTACTAATTATTGACCTACAGAAACGTTATGGTAAGCAGGACAGAATGTGCAGTCGCGTGCTCCACGACCAGCGCTTGAAATGGATCTACAAGCAATGAACCTCCAAGGTGGGTGCTATGTGTATTTCACAACGTACAAACAGCGCTTTAGCATATGAATATAGTACCTATTATCGGACGCTCGCGGGCACAATATGACTGCGATATCTCGCTAGTATTGGCATATGTGTCAATGCTAACGTCAATACTGTGTCAATAGCTGGTGCTTTCGTTGTTTTGTCAAAGCAATGTCTCTCAGATGGAAGCGGTCGCTGAAATTCAAAGGCACCACAGGAAGCCGTTTCCATTTTCTTCGTTCCGCAGTTCGAGGATACGGATGTCCGAAGCTCTGTCATGCATTGCGCAATTTCACGCGTCATGTTTCCTTTGCCGTCGTTTTGTAATGGCCACTGCAAAAAAATACGCCGGACCGTTCCATTTCATAATTTTGAGAGCGCCGCGACATCTGAGCTCTATTCAAGAGCAGTGAACCCAGAAATCTTGGAGACAGCAATTGTTCCCTTGGATGGAGAAGAAAATGGACAAGAATTAATGTGGCGCTATGGAAGTGTCGAAACCTACTGAGTTTTTCAAATATGTTGCGTCAGCTGCACTTAAAATACACATTTTGTTTAGGATACAGGAAGATGTGTTTAAAGCAACGCTGGAATATGTAAATGGAAGCCCTGTAGAAAAGATAGCAAATGTTGCCGCAGCAAAGCTGCATCAGAAAAGGGGATAGTTTTGATGGGACGACTTCTTGGGTTACGAATTCATTCAATGACTTTAAACTCTTTACGACGTTTTAACAGGTCCCGATTTTCCCGACTTTTGAGTCATTGACCTGACCTGGAAGGTCAACCGATGACCCAGGACCTTAGATTGGGTATCATTGGCTTCCTCTCGTCACGGGCAACACGCTCGTTTTTTTTTCCTCGAAGCTCTAGCTCGATCAGGGGCCAAACACGAGGGGGGTCGTACCAACTCCCTCCCACCCCCTTGTACCGTCGAAGGACGCAAAATGGCCTGTGCCGGCGAGCAGTGTTCGCCATGGGCCGGGCCAGCCCAGTGGGCTGGGCTGGGCTACGGGCTGGGCTGGGCCCTCATGGATATGAAGGATTGATGGGCTGTGGACGGGCTGGGCCATGATAACTTGAAAATGGACTGAAGTGGAATAGTTCGCGACTGGGGCAAAAACCATAACTATCTTATTATTGTGCAGTGTGCAAGACTGAAGAACTAGTTAATTAAGTAGGTATGCATGTTTAATAATAATATGCATTGTGCATGCTGCTCTCAATATATTTTTTTCTTTCCATAATGTTAAATTCATTCATTTTTGATGGGCTGGGCCGGGCTGGGCTTTGCCGCTTTTACCGTGAACGGGCTCGGGCTGGGCCGGGCTGTGAACCGCATGGGCCTGGGCCGGGCTGGGCTGGGATTTTTCGGCCCGTGGCGAACACTGCCGGCGAGGGTGATCTCAAAAACCTGCCTCAAGTGTTCATTATTTTACGTTTGGCTTCATTTTTTAGACAGAGGGTACTGTGTTTCAGCTAATTCATTACGGAGCGAGCGAAGCGAGCGGAGTCTCATACTGCAGAAAATCCTGAGTATGAGCGGCCGGCCGGCCGGCCGTGGGGACGCTCTTCAAAAGCGTCTTAGGAACGGGACATCCGATTGACAAGCGGTCTTCTTTACTGAATGTCACTTGGACGTAAAAGTTATGTGGTGTGATGGCCACCATGCGTTCTTGCCAACCACCGCACGTGGCGCGTGGTAAAGTTGGACATTCTTTAAGAACCCCCAAAATTGTAACCTCAATAACGGCGCAACGGTTGGGCCGATTGAACTGAAACTCGGTACACAGTAAGGTCTCCATCAGATAATTAATCTGCATGTGTTAAGGTTGGGGTGCTACAGCACGTGCGCACGTGCAGGGGGCGCTCCCACATCTCGAGAACGGCTGGGCCGATTGCGCTCAAATTTGGTACACGGTTGGGGACCAGTTAGTAGGGTACCGTGCAAAAGTCAGTTTGGACCCCGCTTGCACGTGCGCACGTGCAGTGTGCCGCTTCCAGATCTCGAGAACGGCTAGGCCGATTGCGCTGAAATTTGGCACATCGCTAAAGACCGGTTAGTAGGGTGCAGTGCACAAGTTAGTTGGAGGTACCCCCTCGCAATTTCGCACGTGCAAGGCCCGTCCTATCGCTCGCTCCGTTGGTCGCCCAAAAGGCGTTTTACTGGTTTCCTATCAATGACGGTAGAGTAGACAATTGTTCGAGTTTCTGTGCAGTTGACGAAGACACTCCTGAAGGATCCCGCTGACCACACATCTATGCACATTTGTGATGTTGAAGAAAAGTTTAGGTAAGTACATGAAAAGGACCAATATGTCTAGCCTTCTGAAAAAGTGATTTCACCAAGTCGGTCAATAACAAAAGATGCTAAAAATGTCTTCGGATTTGAATAGAAAGATTCGTTCTGAATTAACGCCAAATATGAATTGACACTACACAAGGCCACTTGCACACAAACCAGAGAATCTGCGTGGTCGGAGGCTGGCACGAGCGTCCCATCTCTGTCCTGGCGTCGGCTCGCCATCCTCTCTCTCTCTCTCGGAGACCGCTATCGAATTAGCCGTCGGCAGTCGCCATAGTACAAGTTCGGTAATCAGATCAGCATATGGCGGCACAAGTTCCCGGAATGCTCCGGTGGCGCCCAGAGACCAGCGCGGACACCAGGAGTGTCTGTCTGCCCCCCTTCCCCACTGTGACTCCCCGCCCCTCCAGACGCAGCACAAAGCACTCCGCCTCGTGACAAGGTCGGTGACACTGTGCATAGGCGAGATGCCGTCATTAATAACGCTGCAAGTGTATGCCAGCCAGAGTAAGATTTGTTTCATCAGAAATCCCAGGGCAGGATGAAAATGTGATGTCGCTTCGCCGCCCTGCGTTATTAAGATTTATTGCATATCTTCAACCTTGAAAAACTACTTGTGTAAAAAAGGCAGTGGCGTGGGAACTTCTTCCAGACTGGGGGGGGGGGGGGGGGGCTGAACCATCATAGAGATCAACCTAGGGTACCCCAAATCTAGTTTTCTCATCGGTTTTAGGCCACTTATTTTTCAGACCTTGGCCTTTTCAACGAAAAAAAAAACAAGAAAATAATTGCAAAAAAATGAGGTATTCCGTCTCTCAGCTGAGTGAAGAAACTACCGTTTTGGCAACCTGGAATAAAGGTTTTAAGCTGCCAAATGAGTTGCCGAGTCAGTAAAATAGTTAGATTTTTCACTCACATGCTTTCTTCCTTTGTGACTCACAACCCCTAATTTGGGGAGGACAAGCTGCCCCAACGGTTCCTGGCCTCATGAAAAGTTGTGAGGAACCGCCCCCACGGCCCCAGAGTTGTGAAGGCAAGCTTCCCCCACTGCCCTCTCCCCCGGTTCCCGCGCCTATGTATGAATCTATGAAATTGTGTTGGTAGATTTCCGATTTCGATTCCTACAGCTGGGGGGGGGGGGGGCTCAAATACATTACGAGCCCCCCCAGCCGAAAAGTTGGAGGGGCTCAGCCCCCCCTAGCCCCCCCCCCGGTTCCCGCGCCACTGAAAAAAGGCACACAGACACACAGTGCTTGTGAATATCAGGAACATATGCATAGATGACTTCTTTGAAGTTGATTGCTTTTTATAGAAACTCTGCCTATCAGTTACATCTATAATTATTTACTGCAGTTGAAGGTACGTACATAGCAACAAATCTGTTGTACACTCAAAGCACAAAAACAGTCATTCACACCATCGGAACCAAAGCGGCTTAAACATGGCAGATAACATGGCTAGGGACCTTTACCTTCGACAGATCTCATTCCTCCAAGGAAATGTCAATGGTCATCGGTGGTTTCGAGGAGTTTCCCGCCGGATTTGTGGAAGAATTGCCTCAACAAAACCCAGATGTCCCTCTCCCACGCCCGCCCTCGGCTTCCGTCAAAGCTGAACATGAATCGAATATCAAACGACTTTGGTGGTGTCACAGCGGCATGATTTGTAGTGACTGCAGCATCTTCAGAATATCAACTACGGCAAGGTATCGGGAGACATAAATATGTGCAGTGTGACTATCTCTTGAAGATCGCATTCGCAAGCTCGTTTTAATTTATTCGCACTTCTGCTCTGCGTCTGTGCCCTCGTCCGTGTTCGTGTCTCTGTCGTACTCGTTTACATCCGTGTCCGTATCCGTGTCAATATCCAGCTCATGTATGTGTCGATGTCCTTTGCCGTGCTCGTGCCCCCCCCCCCCCCCCCCCACTGGCGGCACTGACCGTGAGAATCGACCAGCGGCACGCTGCTCAGTTTCTTGTTTTCCCTCAGCACTTGCCGCAGCTGCCGGTGACTGATGCCGTGCCAGATGTACTTCACCTCACGCACCATTATGTCTTCCACGTATATGGAGTAGGCATCTATCGACATAAACACAATGGAAGACAACGGTAAAAAATAGGAGTTAGTGAAGCAATATGATGTCCTTGTCAAATAGTTAAGTGTCTTCTTTAGCTTGAACGACTCAACATTTTAGTGGCCGACATAGGCGACTGCTAACGATGAAATTCATTAACTAAGGAAACAATTATAAGCACTTGTAGAACCTTTACATCTCAAATTTTGATTATGGTTTTTAATAAGTAGGTAAACTTCTTCGAACTGCTGTGGATGGCCATTGGCCAGTCATATATCCCTGTTGAAAAGGAACAGCTGCGGCAAAGAACGCGTTTCACTCACTGGTGGAGGTGAGAATGTCTGGCAGGTAGGGCAGCTTCTTTATCTGGATGATGCTGTCGTAAATGGACGGCTGCAGAAGCTGCGATACGGCGTTCGCAATCAGAACAGCAATCTGCGAAACATCAAGGGCATAATTTTTAACACAGGTGACGGTGTTGAATACACAAAAAGAGCGACCAAGATTCGGTAGGGTACAAGAATGATAAAGAGTTGCGACTTCAACAGTAACACATTCTTACGTCATCGCCATCTTGACAGTTGATGTGACATCATTGCCTATCACATCACAGACAATGTGCCCGACCATGTAGCATGCCAAAGTTACTGCCACTGCGCATTGGCGTGATAGAGGGGTCACCGGCCAGGTTTCTCAGAGCCAATCTCCCCAGTCTTTGCGGTACTGCTGATGGTAGTCAGTAGATTTCCGGTAGATTTGGCCGATTCTGCCCCAGCGGTCAGCGCGCCCGGGGAGATTTGGCCAGATTTCCGCCCTAGACCCTGCGTTTGCCGCCACATCGGGGAGCGATGCCGTCTCGGCGTCGTGCTCGCTGTGACCCGTGATGTGACTGGATTGGGGCAGGCCGGTTGTGTTATTTTTCTGATCACAGACGTAGCCGTTTCCACACAATCAGCAGAAGTAAGCCTGTCGCAGTGTCGCTTCAAAGTGGTCCCAGAGGCCCTATGGCTAGACCAGGGGTGATAAATTGGCAATGATTCCAACAATATGAGCAAGGAATAATAACGCTACTTGCAGCCATAATTAGCAATCAGCATGTCTTTTATTTACTTTCCATTTTTCATCATTTGTTCCTAACATATGGCGGCATGGCCAGGCAATAATTCAGAGAAACTGGGCACCTCAAGCTCTCTCAAGATTTCCATAATATTTTTCTACCTCCGGTCGTGCCATAACAGTCGATTAGACAGCAGCATTATGGCAACAGATTGTACGGATTTGTACGAGGGGCACACAGAAAATTATTATTTGACGTTGGTTTTGACAGGGTAATGATGTAGGGATGAGAATTCGAGGGGAAAGTTGGACCGCCACAGACACAGGCCGGGCTTACCTTGACGTAGGTCTTGTCTCGAAGTCGTCGGTCCTGTGATTTGGTCGGTCTCACTGGTACTTCCCCGCGTAGGTTTGCCGGGACGAACCGCGTAGGTAGATCTCTCGATGTTCTCGTAGGTAGGTATCTCTTGATGAGTATGTTTGTAATAGGTGAATTCAGGCACAAATCAGTCGTGAACACATATGGCTCCAACCGGTAACGGACAACGACTGCCCTCTCCGTGGCTCAGGCGGGCGGCTGCGGGCGGACGCCAGTCACGTGCTTATCGCCCGGGGGCAGGTCAGCTGACCGGTCGCCTGATCCGCCGCCCAGCCCGGCCCAGTGTCCAACGCGTGGCGGGGGGAGGGGAGGAGCCGGTAGGAGAGGGGGAGGGAGAGTGGCTGGTTTTGGTGTTTTGCAAGGGAATTTCTACACCCTCCCACGGACTGATGCTAAACAGGGTTTAGCATTCGTTTGACAGTTTGATTAGATGCTGCCTGATTGTAGCAGGGACTTCACCATCTCGGTTTGCTTGATGGCTGCCCTTCTTCGTGGAGGTCTCGCAGTCCTCTCTGAGGTCTCTGGGCTTGACTCGGTCTCGGTGTTGCGCGTAGTCGGCTCATCAGGGCACCTGGTGCTGCCATCTGTGCTGTCTTGACCTGTGTGGGTACTCTGTAGCTCCAGCGGGTAGAGGTGCGATATGGCGTAGCGTTCAGTGCGTCCTGTGCTCGTCTTCAAGAGCACTTGACGCACACGTCCGTCATCTCCATGCAGAAGCTGTAGGACTCTTCCCATCAGCCAGAACATTCTAGGCTTATTCTTGGTGTTGATGAGGACGACATCACCGACAGCAATCTTGTCATCCCAGTCTGTGTGGAATAGGTCTCGCGAATTCTCGCGTAGACCAAGCAAGTACTCACGGTACCACATGTTCTTGTAGTGCTCTTGAAGATGTTGCTGCTCGTGCAGGGTTTTGTTGAGTTGTTGGTGAACATCTTGAGGCGTCGAAACCCACAGCGGGTCAGTTGCGTGTGAACTGTCCACCAGCTGGAGTCTCGGGTTTGTGTGTAGCTTGAGTATTTTGTTGGGTGTCAACGGCTCGATATCATCAATCTCACTGTAGACGTAAGTGATCGGTCGGCTATTGACCATGTTTTGTATCTCGCTGAGCTGTGTGAGGAGCTCGAAGTAACCAAGTTTGGCTCTTCCTACTGTCTTGTATAAGCAGTGCTTTACCGTCTTGATTTGTCTCTCGTAGACTCCGCCAACCCAGCTGGCGTAAACCGGGATGGTGCTGTGCTTGATGCTTTGTTCAGTAAGATATTCTTGAAACTCGTCTGACGTGAATACATTGTTCAATACCCTCTGGCTTGCAAGGAACTGTTTAGCGTTGTCGGTATACAAGAACTCTGGCACGCCGTATGTGCTGCAGAATCGTCTGAATGACTGCAGGAACGAACCCAGGCTTAAGTCGGGGACAAGGTCGAGATGTACACAGCGAATGGCAAGGCAGGTGTACAGTACAATGTACATCTTCCTCATCTCTCCATTCGTGTCTTCAACATAGATGTGTCCAGTGTAATCGATTGCTGTGTTGCAGAATGGCTTGATCAGACTGACTCGTTCTCTTGGGAGGTTCGTCATCTTCGGGTGCTCGAAAGCCAACGCGTTCAGCTTCTGACACGTGATGCAGTCCTTCAGAACTCGCTTGACGACTTGACGACCACTTGGGATCCAGTACCCGTGCTCTCGCAGTTCTGTGAGCGTCGTGCCGACTCCCAGATGTTTGCATCGTCGGTGTTGATCTTCAATCATGAGCGTTGTCAGCCGATGGGTTTTATCCAGGAGAATGGGATTGTGTACAGCGTATGAGTATCGGTTGAGTTTCGACAAGCGTCCTCTGCATCTTAGCAGACCTGACTTGTCTATGAAGACATTCAATTCCTTCACCAGCTTGGGTACTGAGGCTGAGTTGACTAACGTGTTCTCTTGTTTGTCTTGCAGGTAGCTGGTCTCTTCAGTGAACGCATTCTCCTGCATCACCTTCAACCAGTAGTGTGTTGCTTGCTCCTTGGCATCAGCCTCCCTGTGCTTCAGCACGTTCACGAAGTGAAACACTCGAGCCGTCACCCTATGCAGTCTTCGAAGAGAAGAGAAGTCCTTGATGCTGAGAATAGTCTGAGTCGCGGGCGTTTGTGCTTCAGTGTTGATCTCCACCTGTTGATGATGTTGTTGGAGCTCAACCATGACTTTCCCTTCTTCCGACAGGCAGTGAAGAGGACTCTTGGGCCACTGCTCAGGATGATCTCCCAGCCAGTCTGGTCCGTGACACCAGACGGCCAGCTTCTTGTGGAACTCCTTCGCAGACAGGCCCCGTGTGAGCATGTCAGCCACGTTGCTGTCAGTAGAAACGTAGTGATGAGTGACTTCAACTTGATGCTGATGATGAAGTTTCAACTTCATGGCTGTGATGTCTTCAAGACGGTTTGCAGTGAACTTGCTCTTTGACTTGCATCCAGATGCAAGCCACTCGAGCACCACCTGTGCGTCACTCCAGAGACGGACGTGACGGATGGAAGCGTTGATGGAGTCGATGATGAGTGGCAGGCACTTCAGAGCGAGGAACACCGCCAGCAGCTCCATCTGTGGTATGCTTCTGTTATCTGGTGCGAGCTTGCTTTTGGCAAAGACCAGTTGAGGGTCTGAGCCCTCCTGCTTCAGATAGCAAGCGAACCCGTAGGATGTCTTGCTCCCGTCGCAGAAGAGATGGAGGTCTGTTGGTTGGCCACTTTCAGTGTCACCGGTTTCTCTTGAGAACTGGAACTCACGCAAAGACAGGAGATCCTTCTTCAGTCGCTGCCACTCGGCTAGCACAGCCGGCGACACGTCTTCGTCCCATGCTGTCCCTTCGGTCCACACCTGCTTCATGAGGATTCTTCCCCTGATGGTGACTGGCAGTGCAAGAGACAGCGGGTCGAAGACCTTACTGATGTTGCTCAGAAGTTGACGTTTTGTGATGCCCTGTTGGTTTTCTTCGAAGTTGAAGTCGGATAGTGATATTGTATCTTGTTTGGCGTCATACAAGTATCCCAGCACCTTCTCTGTGACGGCGCCGTGCTCGTTGACCATGTTGTCAGACATCATGATGTCGACAAGTGGAGAGAAGTTGGACATCCAGCTCCTGAGGTTGAAACCTCCCTCTTTCATAATCTGGGTGGCGTCGCGGTAGATGTCTAGAAGTTTTCCTTCGTCGGATGTCGAGAATATGAAGTTGTCCACGTACAGCGACTCCTTGAGCGCTGTAGCCGCCATCGTTGTCGAGTATTTGGACAGATGAATCTGGATGATGTGGCTCAAAATGAACGGTGAGCAGTTGAGGCCAAAGAGGATGGTACGGAAGCGGTACATCTTCAGACCGTCATCCGTCTCCCAGAGGAAACAGAACTTGTCCTTGTCCTCTTCGTACTTCAGATATATTTGCAGAAACGCCTTTTCGATGTCAGCAAGAAGAATGTGCTTGTTTGTGCGGAACCTCATCAAGAGGGTGACCAGGTCGTTCAGCAGGTCGACACCTCTGAAGCAGGCTTCGTTGAGTGATGGCCGATCTCCGATCTTCAAACTGCAGTTGAAGACTGGACGGATTTTTGTAGTGGTTTGTGCATCGGTTTTCACCACAGGGTGATGCGGGATGAACACCCTCTGGTTGGTACTTGGTTTGTTGTAATCGACCTCTTCGATTATGCCGTCTCGGAGTTGCTGCTCGAAGACTGCGGTGTATGAATCTGCGAGGCCGCGTTTGACGAGCTTGTTTCGCACCTTCTTCATTGTCGCGAGAGCTACGTCGTGGTTTCCAGGAACCTTGGTGACGCTGTCGTAGAACGGCACCTTGACGAAGTATTTGCCGTCCCTCAGCTCCACCTCGTTGGAGAATTCCTCCACCAGTCCGCGCTCTCGAGCCGAGACACTTTCATCTGTCTCTCGGATGCCAAGGCTCTCGATGCTGAAGAGATGCTCAAGCTGGAGATCCACGTCACTGTCACTTGATACGTGGGCCAGCGGG